AAGGGTTGAGCTGATTCGAGATCAGCTCGGGGTGAATCGAATTGGAGGTTCAAAATGACTTTAATCGCATGCGGATGGTTTTAGGACGGCTCAGTTGTGGCTGGTCTGCACTTGCGACGCAGATTCCGTCTGGGGTCGGTGTTCGGCCAGTTCGGCCACCCGCAAGCAGAGCTTTGAAAGAAGGGCGTGCATGAAGACAGGACGCCCACATAAGGCCAAGGGGCAATACGTAGGGTCTTTATGGGGTTTTAAAGCAATCTTTTACAGCTTGAGCAGTTTCTTGACATTTCAGCAGTGTTTGGGCCGGTGAAACAGAACATTGACCATGGATTCCAGATGATTCCGTCCAGTGGTTATTTGTTCCAGCTTCTCGGCCATGGCTCTCAAGCCATACGCCCAACCGCGCACCGTACCAAACAGAGGTTGACGAACCTGCAAAAGACTATCCCAGTTGGGTTACGTCCAGATGATGGTCCTATATATCAGGTCACTTCCCAACCTCTCGTGGTAGTTACGAACAACGATCTTCCAACTGTGCAACATGTCTGCCGAACTTCATAGTCCGACCAGCCCGGCTCGGCTTAGCGCTCGGTAGCTCGACCAGTTGGATCAGCTCGGTGCCCAGCTCGGTGCATCCATGAGCTTGCCCAGCTCAACTTTCAGGTTTTCCGAGAAGCAATGGCCTCCAACCTAAGAGCGATGGGCCTCCAACTTAAGAGCGATGGGCCTCCAACCTAACTAGTGACTTTGTACTTTCAGGTTTTCCGAGCTCATGGACGAGGAGTCCCAGTCGCAGTACTTCAACTCACCTCACTGGACCACGATCCTACGAGCGACCGACTCGGAAGTCACTGGGCCGCGCTCTGCGCTGCGCGCGGCTTTGGGGCGGTGCGGTGGAACCGTTTGCCTGTGCCTTCTTGTGAGACGGAAGCACACTTTTTTGGCACAGTATTTGATGGTCTTCGGACATTTTCGGAAGTCTTGATACATCTTCGATGGTCTTCGAAAGGATCAATTAAGAGATGCGTTGAGGAGGTCGCAGGTGTACGTTTGCGCCGAAATGTTCGTTTGTTTGAGTTCTCTGTTGTTTCTGGGTTCAGAGAGTTGAGTTTGCCGCTTTTTCTTTTCAGCCTTGTCACTTCCTCAGAAAGAGCTGTGGCGGTGGCTCGACCGACCACTACCCGAAGCATATGCCACTTGGACCGGACGGTCCATGGGACGGGGAGGACGCGACGCAGACACAGGTGTCGGAGCATGGGACGTGCCGTGGGAGGTGTCGTGGGAGGCTGGTCCCACAACTTCCACGGTTTTGATCTGTACAATATCTGTACTCTCTGTGATGGGATACCCCTCCATGGAAGCACTGTAGGGAGAATCAGAAAGGGCGTGGGTTTTGCAGTGGCCATGTCAGGAACAAATTTTAGCTCTATGCAGCCTACCCCTACAATGACAAGAAAGGTTCTGAAGTATCCTGCACCTTCGGGGCTACGTCGTAACAAAGTCTGCGAACGTCCACTGGTGCCAAGACTCACCGGCTGACTGGCTGACCGCTTTCCAGGGTTTTCAGCAGCTCTGAAGCACCAACTCCAGCAGTCCACAGCAGTATTCTTTTGTATTCAATCATTTGGATATCCTTTGGATATATGTAAGCAATGAAATCATATGAAATCTAGAGAGCCAGAAATCAGTTCTAGACGTCTAGACGTTCTAGAAAGACGCAGACTTCTGTTCGTTCACCACATTGTGTTCACCACATCGTGTTCACCACATCGTGTTCGGAGCCGAGCCGTGTTCCGTGACGCCGAGTTCTCAGGTTTTCTGCTTCTATTGGACCTTGGGCGTGATGAGGACGATGCCTGCAGAGGTGACACCGGTGAATTTGCCTGAGCGGCTCTTTGTCTTGATTTTCATGTTCTTCGCACTGAGCGCTTTTGCCACTTGGCGAAATGGAGGTGTAAAATGGTGTATATATGTTGGACCTGAGGATGTTTGTTAAGTTGCTTGGGGAAGTGTTCCCACGTCAACTTATTTTCAGAAGTGGGAGATTGCACTCTCTCAGCCGGCCAACCGGCGGAGGGGGAGAGGGCGATCTGATCCGCCACAAGCAGAGCATCGAGACTCTTCACGCCCGCAAACCCTTGTTGCAGGCCTGTTTTCACGCCAGCTCGTGTCACATGTTTGCTGAACACCCTTTCTCTCCTTGTGCAACGAAGCAGCTGAACAGGATGGTTCGGTTGATGATCTCATCACTCAGGCGATTTGTGTGTCCCTCATCACTCAGGCGTTCTTCAAGAAACTTGGCACGAAAAGACGTTGCGCGCCCCACCCTCTCTTGGCACGCGTCCATAACCGCAGAACTCGAAACCCAAATTTGGGGGATTGAACTTTTAGACGCAAAGTGGATCCAAAAGGGAGATGACCTGCTCCTCTTAATTAGTTGCCAATACAAATCAAGGTCAATGTCCAAGCAATGTGCCCAGGTTGTGGATTAAGCTTTTGTAAAGGTCACGTGAACAAAACTGGTGGATTTCTGGCGGTTTGGGGTCGCCGGGCATCCGGCGATACCTGACTGACGCGTCCTGCCTGAGGATTTCAGATCGGCGGCGGGCCTTTCAAGAGGCACTGTGGGGTATGGGTGGTATGGCAAGGTATGGTGGTTTCTACGTTGGAGTCTTTGGAATGGTTAATGGTTGGAGCAGACAGGGTGGTTGGTCAACCACGGTTGTCACACTCCACTAGTACTTCTCCACTCAAGCATTCAAACGCGACCCTCCTGATAGGATTTGGCCAGGAAATATCATCCTGAGCCGTTATGCTGCGTTGTTACAACTTAACATTTATAAATACTTGGAGAGTTGGAGATGTGCAAGTGCAGGGGTTTGATGAGCAAGCCTGCGAGCTGAAGACGCAGGGTAGGGTGGTGGAATTGGTGCGTTAATCTCAACTTGTCAGGACTTTCGTTTCCTATGGTGATGGTGATGAGGATGAGGGGTGAAGGATGAATGATGAAGGATGAATGAAAAAGAAGAAGACGACGAAGAAGAAGAAGAAGGAGGAGGAGGAGAAGTAGAAGGAGAAGGAGAAGGAGAAGGAGAAGGAGCAGGAGCAGGGAGGAGAAGGAGGGAGGAGGAGGAGGAGGAGGGGAGAACAAGAAGAAGAAGAAGAAGAAGAAGAAGAAGAAACTTATGAAGAAAAAGATCATGAAGATGACGACGATGACCAGGCCAACACATGACGCATGTCACCAACCCACTGATGAGTCTCGCGCAGGAATTAGCTGCGGTACGGATGCATCTTCAAAAGACTGACGTGGAGGATGCTGGTTGTTGGGGCCGTTGCTTGGGTTTGTTTCTCCAGCTGATTTAAGTGAAACACCATCGCTTTGGTGAACTGGCGTAGTGGCTAAGCGCCAGATTTGTTGCTTTGAGTGCTTTGTGTTGAAATGTTCGCAGTGAACACATCGGGTCCAACGGCACTCGACGACAGGAGACGATTCAGTTGAAGGTCAAAGCCTATTTGAGGCGTGGCAGCGACCGGCCCGTGGGGCGGCATCCACCCTCGGCCCAGCGAGAGAAAGCGAGTGAAAGCGAAAGCCAAAAGCGTTTGACTCCATTCGTTCGATCCCTGTTTGAGCAGGCCCCCAGAAGGCCCCGACCCTCTTCGTTGGAGTCGGACTGGGCCATTTTCAAGGAAGTGCTTAGCTGCTTAGTCGGACTCTGCAAGTCCCCCTTAAAACTTTGTAGTGGACCGAAGATATTTAAGGACAGCAAAAGGGTGACCACAGATACTGGTTGGCAGATGGACTTCGGATATTATGCTGAGAAAGCGGGCCATAGCTTTTGGATGTTTTCGGAACAAGAATGATGGATATTGAGAACATCACAAATCCTCGCAAGAAGCATCAAATAGCATCAACCAGTCCTGCTTGGGCTTTCCTCGTGTGCACTCTCGCACCATACATTGCTGAACCTTCCTCCCCGAAACAGATTGACGTCAGGTACATCTTTGACCGGCGTCGGATTCAAGCGAAGGCACCGCTGGTGGCACGGTGGCGAGATTTTCGTCAGCTGACATGCCAGGAAACATACAGTATAGTGAAACATATTAATCTAGACTCTTGATTTAATAATCCCCCCCCATATGAAGAGGATTTCCAATTCAAATGGGTGGGTCCCCTCAACCTCCCACACAACCTGGAAGGGGGGGAGTGGCCGCGCGTCGAGACTGACCGTCCACAAGTCCGTGCATTTAAATGGGTGGGTTTATTGATCAAGAGTCTACATGAAGAATGCTGCATCATGAGTTGACAGAAACCAATTAACGAACAAAGGATAAACCTGGATAAACCAACAATTTTTGTTGAGCATCATTGGCTTAAACCATGCATGGAAAAACGTGCATGCAGTGGAGTCAGGGGTGAGCCCAAACGGCTGCCAGATGATTAACCCAAAGCCTGCGCCATCGTGCGCCCAAGAGAATCCTAAAAACAGAATTCGACCAAGGAATTGGCTTCAAGACGCTAGGGTTTGTTCACTTTCCGCGTCCTTTCAGTTTGCGCACCAATGAGATTCCTTCGGGAAAAAGGGGGGTGACCAAGGGGGGTCTCGGGGCTCTCAGACCCGTTGGTGTTCCAGGAAGCCAATTTGCTGCAAATCCTGCCGGAGCAGCTGAAAGTTCAGGTTCGCCGCTCGCAGGCGAGGCCCGGGACCGTGACCCACCAAGACCCACCGGCCGGTGCATCCTCCAAGAAGCTGAGGAAAGAATATGAAAGAACGGGGTACCACGCTGGAGACCAGTCAATCTTCACGGACATGAATGTGCCTGACGAGATTTGCTGTCAATCTTCTTTGTGTCCCACTTTTCTGCTTTTTGGAGGGGAAGCGTCTTGACCGGAGCATGAACGAAGGAATTGTGAGAATCCAAGAGGAGAAGCTGAGTCGTCGTCGTTGCTGAGCTCTTTTGCCCCTTCTCGACTCCAGCCGGACCGACGAAGCTGCCAGATGCGACGCTATCTGGAGAAGATCCCCATGATGAGCGAACTGGAACGCGACAGTCGCCTGACTCCGAACCTTTCTATTTTTGGGAACTTGGAGGGTAGGCAGTTTTCTGATTTTTTCTGATGCAGCCATGTGTTTTCTGGGTCGGTGGGTGAAGAAGCGAGTTGCCCACTCGTTTGATGGCTTCGACCCCTTTGACTTCAGGCGCTGATTGGGGTCGACCAATGAGCATCCAAAATTCGTGTTGTCTCCTTGATTTTCTGCCTGGTGGCAGCAGTTTGGGTGGTGCATTTCATGGGGAACCGTCTCCCTCTCTCTCTCCCTCCCACGTCTACAGTCGCAGGTGAATGAGCGGGGCAGGATCGCACGTTGAAGAGGAACGCTAACCGGTCAAAGATCCACCGTATCCGATAGACACACAGCCTGAGAATCCCCGCATCCGAGTGCCACCAATTGGCAAGTTCTTCTTCAATCCCAAGTTCTTCATCCCAGCCGCGATCCGAAAGGCTGTCGCGAAAACTAAGAACAGAAAGAAGCAGGACCGGTGTGGAAGATCCAAGATTAAACACCCACGAGCTCAATCACTCGACGAGATCAACCCTCCAAACTAGAACCAAAGAACACGTCCCTAACCACACTCCCATCTGCCGTCCTTTTTCCGCGGACAGTTGTTTAATGTTGTTTATACATTAAAGCCTCTGAGTTCTCGAGCGAGTTCTCGAACTCCTCGACCACGCACCGGTCCTCAACCGAGTCCATTGAGGTTTTGAAAAAGTGGTGGACTCCTTAGAGACCTTCGACCTCATGCAGGGCGACGAGGTCAACACCGCAGGCAGAAGAGGATCAGGGGAGAGGATGGGAGAGGACAGGCCGGAAACGTGGTCTCCGATCATGTTCGTAGCTCTTTTTGTCTGGGAAGAGTCTTGGAAGGATGGAGATAGATGATGTCACTTGTATGATATGCTTGAATTCAGAGCCTAGTTGGATTGCCATGGGGTGTTGAATCAAGGGCTCCTCATCTCCTGAACTGCCAGACAGGTTTCGGAGGATGCTTCTTGAACGTGTACACTATCCTGGCATCTCTCTCCCTTGCCACATGCCCCCCCTCATGCTCCCGACTTCGTGAAGCCTAAACCTGGCTTCTTGCATGTGGTCCCTGGACGCATGTACAAGCTACACATGCCAACTGTATGCCACCACAGGAGACTACATCCGAATCCTAAAATCCCATGTGAGGCCTCAACAGCTGCACTCGCCGCGGCACAAGAGAGACCCAAGTGCCGTGCCTGGCACCACCGACGCGCGAAATCGAGGCACCCCGGCCCTGGCTGCCTGGATCCTGGTCTGGGGCCGGCTACGCATCACCAAGCGGATCGTCATGCCGCAGCTTGACTCCACGGGCCAAACGAGGAGGTGGCGGCTGTGGGATACTGTGGGAGGGAAGGGAATATATAAGACATGACAATGCTTAAGGCTTAAACATGTTTGTTTGCATGACTTGTACCCTGATTGAACTGCAAGAGCGTCTCTCACTTCTGACAAACTTGTGACTGATGTCAACTCTCCAAGACCGCCACAGAACTGCCTGGTCTCCCCACACCCTTCCGCGCAGACCTTCCGCGCAACCCGCTGAAGTTCAATCGTTTCCGGTGACCCGGAGGGTAGCGACCGAATGCAACACTCGGCACTTGGGGACCTCACATCCAAGAGTAGATCCCCCACTTAACATGTATTGGAACACGTGCCACGATCTACTTGGGGACCTAACCAAACCGGTCTGCGTTCTTTTTCCGCCTTGAGGACCTTTGATGACCTGGACAATGTAGACGTGGCTCCAGTCATTGTGGATGAGCATTGCTTAGACCAGGAAGACATGGTGGTCTCGAAGTGCCTTGGGCAGGCGGTGGCGCGCTGGCGCCTCACCGGAATCCAACCCATCAATCAAGGAGGACCACCTTTAAGCTTTGCCACGTGTGGGTAGTTCCCACTTTTGGAGGAGAGTTGGTGCCCACCCAGAGTATTTGCCTCTTCAGGCATCATTTCAGGGTTGCCTTCTGAAGAGAAGTCAAGCAGGCCCAAAACAATCGACTCACTCATCACGACCGTTCCATGGTCGTGTTGGAACCGCGAGGGGATGATCCGTGCCGCCGCTTTTTCGACTTGCGGGTCGGACACTTCGGTGAGACTTCGGTCAAAGCGTGTGACATCCACGTGTTTCCCTCTCTGCGTCTCCAAGTACTCTCTGCACAGTGCCATCTGGCAGGATCCATCCAAGGCACCCAAGCTAAGGGATCCCTTACGATCCCCAAGCTAAGGGCGTTCCCATGGTTCCATCTCGTCAGAGAAGGCTAGGGCGTCAGGAGAGGCTTCGAGCAAGCGATCGTTTCCACGGAGTGGTTTTTTGAGAGAAAAAGGCCAAAAGAGCGATAAATTAATATGAGGAGTGCTTACTTGCCACGTGCTTTTGCTCCACAAAGGGGCGTCCCCAAGTCACCTCAAATCCTGCCAAACGGGCCCGACCAAACGGGGGCTACCAGCTACCTGAACTGTTCAATCCGTCCAAATGCCCAAACTATAGACGCACACTGCTCCAGCGCCAATGCCAACTGCCGAACTCCACCGCTCCCAGGTACACGGCAGTGGCGGCTGAGAGCTCGGAATTGCTGCGGGTCGACAAGGCGGCGAGACCAACGAGACCTCACCGTCCTTCGTGTGACGCGTTTCGACCGTCCTTCGTTGTCGATGTGGAAAGCAGTGAGCGCTGAGTCAACGCTTGGGATTTGGTCAGTGAACTGGTCGGGGAACTCTGGGATCTCGCTGCCATTTCTGGGATCGCTCCGGTGCCATTTCTTCTTTAGCGCCGTCTGAGACGTGTGCCCGGTTGACAGGAGAAGTTCTTTAAGTGCATCACCGAAACACGAAGGCCTGGGGGAGCCAAAGTGACGCGATCACGTTGCCACAAATGAAGGGACTTGACTGGGTGTAGTGAATGCATCGAAAGGAATCCCACGGAATCTGGGTCCTTTTATTTCATTCCCTACGAGTCGCACCAGTCAGCTTGATACTTGAACGGTTTGCACGTCTTGGATTCTGACTAAGAACATGCAAGAACCAGATACAATCTGCCAGTTTTGCCACCCACTTCAGCAAAGAAAGCGAACGTTCTGAGTGTCACCCGGACTACTCTATTTCCTCGGAACGACGTGTCCCCCTGCGTTCCGTCCGCGCGTCGAACGGAGTGGCCCGCGTCCGCGCAGGATGAGCATTGGGGTTCGTGGCACTGCCATGTATCACGTGAAGAAGACCACCTCACAGACGTCCGACGAGCGCATCGCGAGCACCGACCGCAGGAGGAGCTGTTGGGAGACGTGGGGTTCAGGAGAAAAACACCCAGCGAAGCTCGGCTAGCGAGACCCGGGAACTTTGCAACTTGAGATTACGACCATGGGGAAATCAAGCACTGGACGCATCTGGAGCTTGTGGTTGAAAAAGACCATTGAAGAAGGAGCTTGGTAGGGTGATGTAGCGTGTCACGGAACGCATTTAGGGGGTCTGGTTGTGAGGGGGGGCTTTCTATTGTGTGCGGAGATCAACTTCCTTTCGTGTCATCCATTTCAACACCCCCATGGCCGGCCAAAAACTGCCAAAGTGCCCCCCCGCATCGAATTCGGCCTGGGCTGCAGGAGTGTGAGTGGTGTGACCAACGCCGTTCAAGCTGCCGCTGTGATCTCCTCCTCCTGATGTGGGAACAGCTGAAGTTGAGTTTTGAGTGAGAGATCTATTTGAGTTACACATGAAACATGTGACAAAAGCGAAAGGATTTGTTTCTCGGTTGTTTCCAGTGTCCAAGCACAGGCTACACAGTGGGGTATGAGTGGGTATGCAGGTTTCAGCCTGTTCCCGCGATCATTTTTTTTCACTAACGCGCTTGCAGATGTTGGATAGTCTTGCTGTCATCGTTCATAGAGCGGACATGGGCGAACATGAGCCGAAAGAAGGAGTCTTCGAGTGGTCGGATTTCCAAGAACTGTAAGCTTTACCAAAATAGGGCCTGAGAACCCAGACTGAGTTTGCGGAAGCTCAGCCAAGCTGACGCTTTCGCACGAGCTGGGTGAGCGAAGGCGATGGGTGGTCAACTCGTGGGGGAAGGGCTGAAGCAGTGCCGCGCTGCCAGAAACACAAGGTCATGTTGGTGACATAATATGTAGACTCTTGATTTCCACCCCCCACATGAAGAGGTTGTTCAATGCAAATTGTTTTTTTCATCAATCAAGAGTCTACATTATGCATAGGCTAGGGTGTGTGCCGTTACCTCTTTAGCACTCGGTAAAAGACTATCACTACAGTTATCACTATAATGTTTGAGAAAGGTCTTTACTAACCATCATTATCATCCACAGCTGAAAATGGGAATATAATGATGCATTTAATGGAGCGACCAGAGACTTTCGGACCTTGTGAAGAGAAGAACAAGCCTTTGTTTGTGGGTCACCTCAAAGGATCACTGTCGACCGACAGGCAAATGTGGACTTCGTTCCTGGCACGTGTTGAAACATCGAAACAGGAAACAGCCGCTCTTGAGTGAAGACATTTGGCCATATTTGGCCTATTTCGGATTCGCGCCCGTGGCCTGTCCAGCCGTTTCTGAACTGGGCGCCACTGGTGGCGCCTCCCACACGGCCTCCCACGCGAAGAACCTTCGGCAGCCTGTGGTTGCGCAGTTTTCGGTCACCACCGGCCGGGAAAGAGGTCTTTTTGAGGCAACAATGCCGCTGTTCGGACCTGAGAAACACGAATTCATGGACGTCTCACACTGGGTCGAATCAACCATGAATCCGAACATGTTGGATGCGACAGTCCTTTTGCAGCACTTCTCAGATTAATCCCTTCTCACTGAACTTGCCCAATGAACATCTCTGAAGGAAGAAGTGGCCCACAGTTGATTCATGGACAAACGCCTTACACCGAGCAGGTTAGTCCTCAGATACCTCGCCACCGCCGCTGGAACGCAGCATCCTGCCCGTCGAAGATCCATCCGATCCTCCTTCTTATGGTGACGATGGAAGATGTTGCGATCCTGAGGAGCCCAAGCATGTGGATTTGGAAATCGCACATTTTATCAGAAAGACCAATGATTCAATGATGCAGTTGTTTTTTCATCGGATGCAACTAGTTCCACACACAGGCGCCAGCCAAATACCCCGGAGCCAAAAAAGCATATAGGCACCCGGCTGCTCACGTGCGTAGGCTCACGAGGCTCACCTTGACCGACCGTCAGGGTGGCCGAAACGTGCGTCGGATCGCACCTTCAGAAGGACGGCGGGAACCAGCCCGCGGTGACCCGAGTCGCCCAGCCCGCCCGAGGCGGCGAGATCTCGGCTTTCGGGAGCCAAAGTGGGCGTTGAAGCTGTGGCCTGGGAGATGGCTGGTGGAGCAGTGGCCGCATCGGTTGGATGTTTGACTGGGATGTTCTGAGAATTCACGGACGGATAGTTGGCAGTTCGCAGCCACCAGCCTTCTTGTCAAACCACTTCGGCCACTTCAAGACTGCAACTGTGCGGAAAAGGAGTTGAGAGTCCAACAGCGGGTGACAGCCTATTGCTGGTGGACTCATGTGCTGAGGTTGCTATTGCTGGTGGATTGTGACCCCCAAGTAGATAGAAAAGTGTATCCCCTCCAAAAGAGTCTAGAACGCCATTTCTATATCATCGATTTAAGAACACACCAAAACCATGCGAGATCATGTGGATGCATGGGCTACCTGGACACACGAATTGAGACCATGATCCCCTTTCTTTCGTTGTGATGATGCCCTTTAACCCTGAATTACTTCTTAAGCTTTCTTAGGCTACCCAGCATGTGTTCGGTTCTTGCAACCTGCGGAGCATGCCCAAACCCCCAGAAAAATCCCCATGGGAACACATGGGTTCTGCGAAGAACGCCGCCACAACGACCTGAGTCTTCCAGACCTGAACACGCCGGCGGAGTACCCGTGTGACGTCAGACATTGAGCTCGCTCGCTCACGGACCGTGAGAACCGCCAATCAGCGTGACATCTCGGACTGAACCTATAGAAGATCAGTATGAGCAAGCACACTTCAGAAAAGAGGAGTCCTGTCACCTGGCCGAGGAAACATCACCAAACGACTGACGTTGCACTCTACTTGTTGACAAGCCCGAAGAAATCGTCCAAGCCCGCTGTTTCCGGGCAGAGAATTGGATCAGCTTGGAAGCTGATGAAAACAAACAGAACTGCATAGATGAAAAGACCACTGAAAAAACCAAGCCTTTTTCGGTAAGAACATCAACACGACAAGCAGAAGCCAACAACACCACCTTACTCGCCTTGCGGCATCGCTCGTCCGGACCCCGTGTCCTGAAAACGCCCGCGCCCCTCGTGCTTGGAACCGCCATGCGCGGCCAGCGGGGAGCCCCAGTCGACGACCAAGGAGCGGCCGGAGCGGCAGCGAAACGCATCCTTTTCAAGTGAAACGACGAGTCAAACACTGTTTCACGGTAGCAGCTGGCCTCCAACCTCATAGCGTCGCGAGGAGAGACTCTAATGGACATTGTTTCACGGTGAAGTGGAGAGAGACCTGGCCCTTTGTGGAGAGGCGAACAGAAACGGAGAAGTTTCAGCGACCGAGTCGCGACCTCCGGGAGTCTCGGAGAGTGCCCAGCCGATGAGCTCCGGCTCAGCGTTCTGAACGCACTTGATTCATAGTTCAACCCATTTCAACCAAAGCCTGAAGAGGTGTTTGAACCTTTTGGGTTGTTGAAATATCCGTCTACATGACTGAGATGGTTGGATGCCAAGGCTGGACAATGGGATCTTCGGTTTGGGAGAAGGCCTTCGGTTTCGTTGCAGCTTGCAGCTTCGGTTTCCTGCAAAGAGAGGACCTTTTCGGTTTCTCCTGGTGGTGGGGCATGTGTCGAAAGGTTGCCGATGACAGCCATGGGTTTCTGGACGACATGGACCGGAGAGGTCAGATTCGAAACGAACACCCCACCTGTCAGGCTCGGGGCGAGCGACCGAGTGGCGCCCTAATCCGAGTGCCAGGTTGGTACCCTGATCCAGCGACCTCCTTCCTTTGTGGTCCAAAGCGCACGTGGAGCTCCTTCACAGGCGAGGGAAAGGTGGGAGATGGTGGGAGAGTGGGATTCGATCATCACGCAAAGGCTCCAGATGGAGGCTCACCTCCAAAATGTTCCGAATGAACAGGCACGGTTTCGAAGGGCCAAGTCTGTGCCACGAAGCAGCATGGTCTGGCCTTTGCCACAACACTTGTTAACTTGTGATGTTGCCATTGCCTAATCGGCAAATTCATGCCCAGCGTATCCTATCCTTTTTTTTTTTAACTTTTGTCATCTTTTGTCGGGTTTATTTTGGTAATTATCCAGTTGTTTGTCGATTTCTGCATCCCGATGAACCAAACCGTTTGGCCTCAGGCGACCTTGGCTCCGCTCAGGCTCTGGGGGGGCAAGAACATGCATGCAAAACGGCGACTGCCTGGATTATGTCCTTCCTTTTTCGTAAATTCTTTTGCTGCTTGCACAGCCCCAACTAGTGAAGTCGAAGTCATCCAAGAGGACACTTCTTTTCGGGGTCGCCAGGCGATGCCTGGTTATGGGCAACAGGGAAATATCCAGCAGGGCTACCAGGACTCCTGGACCTCGCGGAGAACTCTTTGAGGGTTCTTCCGTCCACTTCCAACCGAGATTCTCTCGTTTTTCTTGAGCTGTTATCGGCTAGGTAGGGTTGGAACAGATGGGTAACTTTGCTAGATTGGATCCACTGTGGCTGCTTAACGTTTTCTTTTTGCCTTCTGAAAGGGTTCTTTTCTAGTCCTTCTGACTCGTTTGGGGTTGGTGTGTAGAGCCGGTGGGTCAGGACTTGGACAGCCGAGAAGAGGAGGCCGCTGAGGAGATGGAGGAGAAGTCGGAGCACCTCACGTGGGGGTTTCCGAGAACGTGGTTGACCGGGACCGGCTGGACAGGGAGCTGCGGTTGAGGTGGTTGAAGGGGCGGTTGCGTGGTTTTTATGAAAAACACAGATGACACGGAATAGAAGAAAGGACCACAACATACGTTTCATAAGGCCCGCCGGTACAGGGGCTTTATAAAGGCTGACCTAACCACTTTCTTATCTTTCATGTTCTTTTTAAATATTCCTTGTCATCTTAGCTTCTGGCTTGATGGTTTCACCTCTCTCGACGAAGGAAGCTTCGGCCCCCAGAAACGCGTGGACTTCTCCCAAAACCTCTTGTCCTTGCGGTTGGTCGAAGACAAAGACCCGTTGAAGGGCCTAATGAATTTGTCATAATTAGTCTATTTCCCTTTGAACACCGGAGAGGGTCTCCCTTTGCATCACCCAAAGGAGTTCCCTTTCACTTTGGACTCTTCGAATGCTCTGAATGCCCCAGGCATATGGTTTGTGGCATTTCGTCTGGTGCAGATGGTGGCAGCCAAGTCACTTGTGGTGTCCCCATGTGCGCTGGGGATGCACAACTGAAAGAGACCTTTGGAAAGCATTGTGCATCTGTGGCCGTTTGTGGGTAGGTTTCTTCGGATGCCTGACCAGAGCAGACCCTGAGAGCTAGTCCGATACCACTTGCGACTAGACTAGACATTTGAACGAAAAACTGTGGAGAACTCTCGAACCTCACCTTGATCTCTGGACCGGGAGCTCGCTCGCCTGGCTCCAGTCTGCCAGGTACCGCGACAAGGCCACTGGAGCACCGTACATCATGTTGCAACCCAAGCTTACATGTGTCCAGCTGCTCCTGGTATCCCAGCTGCTTTCTATTTTTGGTCAGCAAATTCCTCCCATGGTTTTGGAGATGAAATGCCTTCGATGTTGCGTGCTGCTGTGTCGATGATGCCAGAGTGGTATTTGAGAATCTCCTAGCTGTGTGGAATTCTAATTCTTCTTCTTCTTCTTCTTTCGCTTCTCCGCTTCTTGGGTGGCTTAACTTGGCCCAGCGCTGAGGCCTCTGTACACTGAGCCCATGAGACCGAAAGGAGTACTTGCATGAGCTGGTCGAGGGCTTTCTCGCAGAATGGCTTATGTCGCCAGGGTGGTTGGTGTACCTTTGGGCTGTAGGATGCTGTAGGTACACCATGAAAAAAGTTCGCCATCTGAGCACAGAAAGAAAACACGGGCACTGGATTCACTGGATCAGTTCCACTCACTTAGCCAAATGCCACACCGAATCTATTTTTTTGACTCTGCCATTTACTTGGCTTCCCAGTCAAAGCGTGATGGTTTTGCACCGTGGTTTTTCCGGCACTCGAGGAGCTGCAGGATCCTCCGGTGCCCCAGGCGAGGCTGGCAAGACCGGTGGTCGTGGCCGATGGGCTGGCCGTGAAGAGAAGCGACACGACATCGAACGGAATGGTTTTCTGGAACTACTTAAGAGCAAAAACGTATCGGACCTCAACACAGTATCAAACCATATTGTCAACTACCCAGATGTACCCAGACGGGACCCCAGACCCGAATCCTTTGGAAAGCTCGGACCCGAAGCCGGACTGGAGGGGTCTGGGTTTTCTCACCAATCCCGATCGGTTTGGTTCGGGATCAAGGGCTGTGAACGAACACGGAGCGTCTGGGTATAGATATATATATATATATTTATGACCACCCAGACGCTCCTGGACCTTATGGTTTTGAGGGACCCAAGGGCTGTGAACGGAGCGTTTGATCGCCATCGTCAGGTCGACAGCACATGACTCGCCATGGATGACTCGCCGTCACAGTCGCATCGTTGATGCAAGAGCTGTGCAGTCTCTATCGGAGGGACGTGGATGGAGATGGAGAAGGGCCACAGTGGTCATTCTTGTTTGTGTTCTTGTTGGACATTTTTTTCCATTTTTTCCACCAAAAAGAGATCGGTTTCACATCGCCATCTCGGCGCAGGCAGTGTGACATTTAGCAGCCCGCAAGCGGAGGCAGAAGCTGCGCGAGCACAGATGCTCGAGGCGACCGGTGGGCGCGATTTCCGGCGGGGGAAGTTGGATTGGGAAGTTGACCCAACATGGGGAAGTGCAATGTGGAGTGGGACTCCAGCAGATTGGATGGAGCATGGGATAACGCAAGTGTGGACGTCTTGGGCATTGCAGCCTGCATCAATGAGAGTCCGTGAGCTGTGTTTCTTCAGCACATTAAAATGCGCATTTGGAGCAAACACTTGGTGACACACACTTCGATAGATGGTTCATTCAAACGATAATCCAAGTGATAGTCTGTGATGTCATGCACTTGACTTGCTGGAACGGTAGGGTGAAAGGTCCGTGCACTTGAAGATGCTGGAACAAAGTTTCAACGCGGCTGCAAAACGGCGTAGTGCGGCTGCTGTCAAAGGTGGTGTAAAGGTTTGGGGGAAGGAACATGAACCGCCATGGAAGCAACAAACACAGCAGGAAAAGGAGTGTATTGTCACGGCGCAGGTACAGGAAACTGGCCAAGTTTCCCTTCCCACTCTCATCCACATCTTCGTTGCGTGTGCTATAGGATGATTAGAGTGTCACACGCCCCTTCTTGAGAGAAATCCGATAACGGGTGGGACCCTTTGGTACAGGGTGGAACACACACACACACCCCATACACACACACAACCCCGCGCACACCATGGATTTTGAGAAAATTGCTCTGTGGCACAACTCGTAGGGAATAGGATGGAATGTTCGTTCCCAGAAGTTCCAGGATCCAGCCACCCTCAGCCACCCGAGCAACTCGTCGCAGTCCGGACGATGGGGACCGATCCGTCTGGATGATCCACCGGGACGTATATGGTTCACTCATTCCCCTAGGCTTCCAAGACCATTAAAAAAATGGTTGACCTGGTTTTTGTAGTGTAAAATCCTTAGTTGATTTGGTAAAGCCTATTGAATTAATGGTTGTTGGAAGCCTAGGGATTTGGGAGACCTCCTATGTCGGAACCGGTCTTTCTTTTTTTGGGGGGGCGTGGTTTTCAATGGTCTATGGTCCGAACCCAAAAGGCTCCGAGGACCGGGACTTCGGGTGGCCGTGGCACCAGGCCTCCTCCAAGGAGGGCGGCACATGGATGCAGGAATAGATTTCCACACAGCCAAGAAACACCGGAAATGGTACAACTACATGCGACACGGGCGGCCCACCCGTATGTCACAAGTGTAACCAGCCCAACACACTTTTTCACAAGATGTGGCTTTGCCCTTTTGTGCAGCAGACCATCGGTCCATGCCCGCCAGATTGGTTTCCCACAGACGATTGCTATTGGCTACGAGGCCTCACTCCTGCTCCCTGGACATGCCGACCCCTGTCAGACAGTGCTACCTGGCACGGCACAGGTTTGTGGACAGCAAAATCTTCGCTCCCTACAACCAACCTAGCTTTTGGCAACGGCTCGGGCCCCTACAGCACCAGTGCTAGACACAGGGTGGTTGCCTGGGCAGTTGTCGCATACGACATCGACACTTGGCAGGAAGTCGCCACCATGTATGGGTCCGTTGAGGACCAGCAGACAGTCCCCCGAGCTGAGGCCAAAGCCTTTGAGATGCTGCTTGAACACACCACAGGGCCCATCCATTTGGCGGCCACCGACTCCAGCAGTACTTGCAGAAGGTTCAGCAAAGTCAAACAGGCCATCACCAGGCCCAGTCAAAGCAACCTCACCATCTGGAGCAGCATTTACCAACACAGCAAGGGCAGACATGTCAAACTAACTTGGACAAGGGCACACCTCACTGAGGAGGAGCACCGAACGGAGTTTGGAGAAGACGCCCATTGGATGTGGGTCGTCAACAGAGCTGCGGAGAAGCTGGCAAACACCCATGCACAGGACCTAGCCAATGAGCACAACCTGAGTCAGCAATCCCTTCAATCCGAGTGGATTGACCCTTCAATGTTGGCAAATCCAGACCAGGCTCACCCTTACAGCCCAACTCTGGCTCCGGGATGGTAAGCGACACAACGCCCTCCAGTCCACCAAAACTTTCGGCCCCAAACCGGCTTCGAAAAAGGAAGTCTTAAAGTTTTTGCAAAATACTCATCAGCAGCATGCTTGGACCTTCCCTGCACATCGCTGTGCAACTTGTGGTCTTCAACTCAAATCCCACTGGTCTAAGACAAAGCTTTTGACCGCAGTTCGGGCCCCTTGTTTGCCTCAGATGAACCTTTTGTTCCATCCCAGTCACTTGGTTGAGTCAGTTGGCTACTGGTTCAAGTGTGCCATTTGTGGCAAACATGGCCCATTTGGATCCATTTGGACCTTTGATGTTCAAGCCTAGTTGGCGATTTCGCCGTGCAAGGCAGGCTTGAGATAGCCATCCTTTTCAGCATTCATCATTGATGAGTCTCCCTTAGGAGAAAAGCGCCAGGCCTCCTCGTCCGCGCGCATCCGCTCCGATGCGTTGAACTTGTTGAGGCCGGGCGGTCGCTGGGCGGTGGGGCTGGGATCATCTGGTTGGGAATTTCGGGACATGGAAGCTGACCGGGGCCAGAGATGCAAGCACTTGCTATCATTTCAACTCATTTGATACTGGACTTCCAATTCTTGGGACTTGGGAGGTGCTGTTACGTTGGGGGGATTTGGGGGGGAGTGATAGTGTTTTTCATAGTAACGGTTTTTGAAGAAAGAGACCCAATGGACAAGTAGGTGGAAAACAGCTCTGTGTTCTTGGACTCACTGGTTTTTGTCGACGCTTCCTTCTGCTTTTTGTCACGTTTTCACAAGAAACACATTGAGGGCTCCTGAAAATGCAGACATCTTGAGGATCAGCTCGCTCCCCACAGTCTATGTCAATAGAACCTGGCAGATGTATAGAACCTAAGGTGCCTCTTGGAGGGAGTCTCCACTCAGCTGGAGTGCCTATAGGAACTCCTGGTAGTTGAATCGCCTCGATGTCCTGGACTAGTGGAAAACCTTCAGGCCCAGACTAGACTTCGAACTTGAATGTTGAGAAGGATGTATGGGAGCGTCTCAGCAGCAGTGTCTCCAGTGTGCGTCCTAACTGAGACGGTGTGTGGTTGGGCAAGTGAAGATAGCACACCTTTGATGCGACAAGCGAGTCTTGCGAGTTGCGTAAGCGTCATAGCGTCCATGCGAGCCACTGGACTGTGCCACTGGAGGGGCTTCCTGGACAGCGCGCCACCAGCGACTCCTCCCAGCCCGGCATCGGGCTTCTTCTTCAAAGGCCCAGGCGGATGATGACTAAATCGAGGGAATGAAAAGCCTATTATTTGATATTATATATATATTGATCAATTTCGCCTTTGCTTGATTCTGATTTTGTTGTGCTCCTGAAAATCATACAGAGGTGGATGTTGAATGATTTTGACTGATTTGGATCAGGGCTGACAGTGGAGAGCCAGTTACATGGAGTCTTTGCAATGTGTTTCGTCCAACGGCAGAACCACCAGCCTCAGTGACCTGGGCTGTTGAAGGATGCGACACTGAAGGAATTGAAGCCCAGCTTCCCATACGTGGGAACACATGCGAAAACAACTTGGACGTCAGACAGATGGTCCAAGCATCCCCTTCTGACGCTTTGCAAGACCTCCAGATTTAGAAGATTTGCGACTGGACGCATGGAGAGAGAGGAACATGATCATGGCAAACATACAGTATCATTCTCAACAAGCTGAAACAACCTGCTTGCCACATCGTGTGATTGTAGATCTTCTTTTTGAGACACTGAAGGCACACCTATGACCTATGACTCAGCCTATGACGTATCTATACCATTCTATACCCAAAACTAGAACTCTTCTAGATACCCTGACACATGGGCATTACTTAGTTACTGATACTTGTTTTAGATCTTAAGGGCATTTTAAACATATTTGAGGACTGACCCGACCCTGTTCGGGGTCAGGCGCGCCGTCCAAAGTCTTCTATCCCATCCCGAGCAAGACATCGCCCACGGGAATTGAGGCCGAAGCGTCCGGCCCCGGGAGCCGTCTTTTCTTTCTTTTTTTTAAATAATATATATATATATGTATTAAAAAAATATGTTTAAAGTGTTTTTTAAACACATATATATACTGTATAAATATATATTTGTTTGTTTGTTTCGAATGTTTGCACCCACTTCTCACAATCCCTGCAGACTTTCTGAGATTGCGATGGCAGAACAAGAGGTGCTCGTGTTTTTTGTTTTCTCATTGTTTCCTTTGTCTATGACCTCAACTTGAATCGGAGTTGTTGCTTGCCGGCGCCGTCAGGTGGTCCCTGATGTGGGCCCCTTGGGTGAACCAACACCGGGATTGGACACTTGGCGGAGGAATTTGGATTTGACACGTTTGGTTATAGCGATGCCCTTGTGGCTCTAGCGTCCGACCTACGTAGTAATGCCCTTGTTCCTAGTAGCGATGCCCTTGTTACTAGTAGCTTCTAGCTACTAGTCTTTGCATTGTGAAATGCTCCATCAAGGTCTTCAGGTCTTCTGTCAGATGGCCACTTTTGCATGTCAGACATCTTGCCCACTCTGAAGAACGTGCTTTTGGTGTATTCGACCCTGTGCCCACTGAGCCGCTGATGAAAGAGGGCTGGTTGGTGGATTGGACTAAGGTGCAGGGGAACATGAACAACCCTGGCGTATCTCGGCATGGAGTTTCTGACATTCTGATGCATTGAAAGCAAGGACCTGCTGTTTTTAGGAAACAACAAAGGCAACTCAGGGCCTCTAGCCAGATGCCGAAAGGGATCTTTGTCACGTTTGCACAGAAAAACGGGTCCCATGACGATCTTCTTTTGTCAGCAAGTCACTGGAGATCTCCTACTACCGGGCTTTCTGAAGATGTTCAGACATTCAATCCGTTGAAGGTGCAACTTGTTGAATGCCAATATTCAGAGAGCATCTATGGCATTAATGTCAAACTACTTAATCTAAGACCAAGTGCCGTTGGGAGATTTTGAGCTTTCATCGATTTTTCAGCATTTTGCAGAGCATTCGGCCCGGTTCCGGGCTCTGTTTTGTGTCTGTGCGTCGTTCCCGAACAGGTGGCGAACGGAGTGTGATCTTCTTCGAAAACACCAGGCGTTCGGTGAAGGGATGGGAGAAACAGATGGAGTGTCAAGGGTTCTGTCGCAGTGCCTCAGGCAGCATCAAAGAGAAGGGTTTCAACATCCCTGCGTATCCCTGCGTTTCGACGACTCTGAGAATATCCAGGAACTGCAAGTGCAGGACGGTTTTGAAACGAGTTGATGGATCTGTTCCCAGACCGACTTCCTGGCAGTCACACCCGTCTGGCATGTCGTGGGACGCTCAGACCCAGGTGGCCGCCGCCGCTGCAACCGCCGCTGCACTGAGCCAAAGAGAAGCCGGTGAGTGAAATGGGCCGAGAAAAACCATGGGGAGCGAATGACGGCCGCACTGAGGACGCGGTGGAGAGCTTTGGAGTGGTTTGAGCATTCTTAGTTTGGAGTTTTTTTTCCAGTGCCAAGTGAATGAATTGCTTGATTTTGACGGCCAACAGGGTTTGAGGTTAGAATGACTGATAGCCGACTTACAGCTGATCTATTGGGAGGCAAGTATAAAGACATGCTTTTTCTGCTGTGATTGTTAGAAGACCCCAGCAACACACTGGAGCTGGTACTTGGGAAAGCGATGGCAGGGGTAGGAGTGTCCTTGCTTCCCGACGCAAGCAGCAAAAATGACACGAAAAAACGCCTCCAACACTGACGGGTGCTTAGAAGGGAAGGCTCATTCCCTCAGTCCTTACTATAAGCACCAGTGTTGACGGTTGAGTCATTTGCTCTGACCTCTGAGATGGCCTCCATCGGCCGCTTTTTCTCCAAAACCGTGGCTTCGCCGCCTCTAACTCATCTCCACTGTCAAGGGCCCCACTGATTTGCTGTGAAGGCCACTGCTCTGGGGCTTTCCAGAGGGTGATTTGGTGATGTGACAACCCAACTAGCAACTAGCTTCCTTGCGGCTTCCGTGCGGCTTCCACCCCTGTGGCTTTCAGCTGTGGAAAACTGTACTGTATTGCAGACACGGCTCAGATGAGATTTTGTGGTGATGCTTGGATAAATAGCTGGAGCAGATAGCCTGGACCTCAGGTGTGGTTTCTTTTTTTGGGTTTGCCTCTTGTTTTTTGGCAGACGCACTGATGCGGGCATGTGACAAGGGTTTAAGATGAAGGACTTCGTGAAGCAATCCCATTGTCAAATGACTCAAAACACCAATAAGATGAACCGCCTTGTGTGAGGTCATCAGGTGGATATCAAATGACATCAAGCTTCCTTTCCATCACGGTGAATCTGCCTCTTAGGTGAAGCTGCGTAGATCAGAAATTGTGAATTACAGAAGATCAGACTACACTATATAGACTCTCTAATGAAACCTATGCCTCTCCAATCTTCTTCCTTAACCGACCAAAACCCCAGGCCCGGGCTGAGCGCCGGCGGGCCTGCCGATCCCAAGATGTGTGCAGCCCGAGCGAACTCGCGTGCCGTGTCCGTGTCGTCCGCCTTGCAGAACTCGCCCCGCCAGCACTTTCGGATCTCAGACCCGCCCGTCGCAGGTGGAAAACGCCTCATTTTTTGTGCATGGTCTTGGTGGATCAACTGGTCTGAATCTCTGCACTGGTGAGCAGGCCTTGCGCAAACCAACTTGCCCCTAAGCAGTGGAGTGGTGCAGAACCTAAAAATGACCCTCTCGTTTTATCTCGTTGGTGATCAGATTTACATCGATCCCCGAGAGGTTTCCACCAGTTGTATGGTGAGACAACGCGAGAAAGACAGAATCACACCAAAGCGCATGACCAACGGACCAGTGATGCGATGGATCACCCCGCTGCGATGGATCCACACGTACCGCAGACTTCGTTTCGTCGAACACGTACCGCAGCCGATGTCCAGCTAAGGTGGGGTGCACAGATGTCCACGCACTCAGATGGTGTCCTGCTATGACAAAAACCAAGAGAACAAGAGAGAAGGTCGGAAACTCTTTACAGATTCTTGGCAGGAAGATTGGTTGATGATGTGAAGAGGACCAGTTTTTCTTTCTTCAATTCCACAAGTCTCCAAGGCAATACCCTGGTTGGCCGGGGTGCGAGCCTCAGGAATTCGACCGATCGAATAGAGATCACGGTTGGTGAGGCTTGATATACACACACATTGTGTGGATCAGCATGGATCAGCTTTCTGAGATAGACTCCTGGATGGTTATTTTTGTGGATGGTGGCTTCAGATTGTTGTGAGATTATGGAACCCGTACTTGGGATGATTGAATCCACTGACTTCATGGTGAGTTGAAAACACCAACCAGTTTGTTTTTTCTTTTAATATCTTTTGCTGACCTGCTTAGTTTCTGCACATTTTGTGGCCTGCGGACCTCGTTGCGCGGCACCGCAGGCAATGGCCGCAAGCCCATTCCGCCGCACCGCCGCCGCCACCGCCGAGCGCAGCGCCGGGGCAAGGCGCGCAGTGGATGTGGAATGCACCAGGTGTTTTGGTGTGCACAGACCAAGTACCGCGGCGGGTAATTCTCTCAGAAACCATCAGACCATACGAGAACTTTGATCTTGAGCTCCTTGGTCAGAAACTGCTGATTTAGGTGTGGCAATAGCTGGTGTCAGCAAAGCTGCCTCGGCGGGTAGTAGCGCGCAGAGCGGGGCAACACAGAGCGAGCAGCACGCCGCACGCAGAGCCTGCGGTTTGTATAGCGATGCCTGCAGTTTTTGGGGGTGTGCAGAATGGGCAGTTGCCACTTGAGAAGAAAACTCCTTCAAAGCATTCGTTTTCTTTAAACTGGTTCAAAGCATTCAAAGAAACTGGTTCAAGGTTTTCGGGCCGTTTTAGCGGGCGCTTGTGCCTAAGGGTTGTAAACGTCAGACTGTTGGTCATTTGATAGACTGTCTCGACATCTCACGAGTGATTTCACAGCCTTCTTGAAATAGACCAGCAGAACAAAGTGTACCCCACCCATCCCCACCGCCAGAATCACGAACAGGAAGAATCTTCCAGGAATTGTCTGCCTTTACCTCGACGTTACCGAGGCAAATCTGCTGGGCCCCCACCAGCCATGAGCAAGGCCGGTATCAGACGGTGTCATGTCCGGTTAGATTTGGTCCGAACTCTTGGGAGCAACTGAGACGTTGAGAATGAAGCCTTTCGTATTGGAAGATCAGGCGGTTTAAGGCCAGAGCACGGCTAGGGGACGTTTGGCCTCAACTATCCCAAAAAAGGTCATGGGTTCACCCACCTGTTTGGGAAACAGGGGCAGGCCAAGAGGGCGAAACCGCCTTACCCAATCCACATGGGTCTAGAAGTTCGCACGAGCAAGAAGAGTCTCGTCTTAAATACTAGATAGAGTATATGCTGTGAGTAGATTTTTCGGCCGAGGGAGTGAGCGAGAGGGAAACAGGAAGGCAAGATCTCAACCTCAGTCTTATGCAGCTGTTTTGCTCAAGATGCCTGCCAGTCGTTCAAGACCCCACCAACAAGACCTTCCAGAGGCGTCTCCTCACCAGAGATTGTGGGTGACTCAGCCCATCCAGTCCAGACAGTTGTCAAGTCACTTGGGAAGATCTCGGAGTATCAGTCGAGCCCACGGCAAAAGATTCCGCACTAGCGGTCCAACAAATGAAGATCCGACAGTGCCAGGAATATCGAGCTGCACTCAAGAATGGGAGAGCTCTGAGAAGGGGGTCCTGTCTTTTTAAGGAACCAGGTGTGTAGAAAACACAAAAGAAAGACCTCCACGCAGTTGAGGGTTGGCTGAGAGAAAGCATAATGGCTAAGCTCAATGATTGCAGAAAGCATTCCAGAATCTCTTCACTACGCTGATGCCACGCAGGTGCGAAGGGAACTGACAGGGGTTGCTTGTCTCATGGCTCGCGCGTGCGATGCCAGCGCAGAATACTCCTTTTACGTGCTGAAGCTCTCTCAACCACTATGCTTCCTGACCAACACGTCGCGGTTCTACGAAGAATGCATTCCAAGGCCCAGTAGGTGCTTTGCCGGCTTCCCAGCAAACACTGCCAGCACTACGCAGCTGTTGTAAATGATCCGGGGGCCGCCTGCTGTCCGGCTTCTTACAGGTTGAACGCTTCAAAAACAGGACCCGCAACAAAGCGGAGTTTTCAACCCGCAAGCCAGAAAACAGGACCTCCAACAAAGCAGTGTGTGTGTGTGTGTGTATGTGTGGGGCATTCCCTTGGATTGTGCTGCATGTGTTCTCTAGGGCCTGGAAAAAACATTTGGAACTTATGAACTCTTTTGTTTCGTTTCTACCGGCCAAGAAGCATGGCATCTGAGTGCCACGCTGGGTGGCACTAGGATTTGGGAAAGTGCTTTCCTTGGTGCAATGGCTGGGATGGGGCTTGTCAGGATAGGGTTGTTTTCTGGTTGTGGCCGGGAACTTGTTTTGTCGGTTCGCACGTTTTGGTTGTCGATTCGGGGGCTTTAGTTCTTGCTTTTTACATCGATTCGGGGCCTCCCTATTCCAAGGCCACCGCGAATTTTTTTTGCTGGAAAATGGCTTGTGGATTTACAAGTGGCGGGGGTGTTTTTGGAACCGCCACTCTAAGCAGAATGCTCCGGCATGAGTCGGATCAATGCCGAAACCCGGAATATCCCAGAATCATCGCAGAAAAACGTTGGGTTTTCGTGGCAGATCTTTTCGCTTTGGAGGACTTGATGGACTTGCTGGGATGGTGTTTTTCCGGAGCAGATGGACCACATGGTATTTGGTGTTTGTTTCTGTTTGTTGCAGACTTCCTGGCTGTCTCATTATGCCAAAATCTTTAGGGAAGGCCCTAAACAACCAAGTCCATGCTTGGAGGGCAAATGTGGGTATGAAGTTGACTACGAATCTTGTTTCAGGTTGTTTCAAACAAAATCTGTTTGCAACTGTCTATGTAAGCCTCACTTCTTTCTTCAGGGATTTTACAGGCATATGTATGTAGTTATATATGTATATATCTGCATGCGAGGGCAAACAGTGCAACTCGTTGAGGCGGGAGTGCCGGCAGCTTCCTCAGCGGCAGCGGCCGGGGGTGTGTCGTTCGTGCTGTTCC